GTCTGGTCTGTGTGCTCCACCTTCTCCATTCCTCTCCTCTCAGTCTCTCTATCTCTCCCTGGGCAGGAAGAAGAGGTTGTGGATAAAATGGATGACGATGTCTTTCTGCGCTGCATTGAATCAAACATGCTGACAGATATGACCTTGCAGGGGATCGAGCAGATCAGTAAGGTACGGCAATATTCCGTCTAATTCTCCCTTCCTGATAGAAGACTCGGCTGATAATGACTCCAAGAAGTCCCAGGAGAAACCAGAGACCCCCTTTAAGTGACTGGTGCCCAACGAGAGAGACTATTATAGAGACCACTGCAATAACAATGTTTCAATATTATAAAGTGATGAACTATATCGTAACATAAGATGAGCAAAGATGACCTCAAATATTAAAGCAATCCTTTCCTGTTCCACCAGCGGGACCATGACTGTCCTCCCCTTGCCTTCATTCATGCTTTCAATTTCAGACCAGCCATCAATCCTAACCACCACCCCCATCCTCTACTTGCATGGGGTCGCCTGTGCCCCCTCTGTTAGGATGGGGGTCGCCTGTGCCCCCTCTGTTAGGATGGGGGTCGCCTGTGCCCCCTTATCCTTGCCCACTATTGGATCCTGAGGTAACCCATCCAACTTACTCCAGAAAGGGAAGCTGACAGAGCAATGGTATTGGCTCTAGTGGATGTAAGCTGAGTTTTGGGGTTTGTGTACAGGTAGGAGTCTCATGGTCCTCACGGGGACTTGGTACAGTGCTGAAGCCGGAGTTGCTCTTTGTTATCCTCAGTTTTCGATCTGTATATTGATGGTGTTGAGTCTCCTCTTTGTTGCTCTAACAATTGCTGGATGTTGGAGGAACATGTTTAAATAAATTAGGACAGTACATGGAGGTCTTGGGTCTGGGGTTTCTGTCCTTAGAGGGAAGTGCATGGAGTCAGTACATAGTGCATACCTCCATAGTGTCATGCCTCTTCTGGGATTCTGCAGCATCTTTTTGTGTTCCTGTCCAGGTCTACATGCACCTTCCCCAGACGGACAATAAAAAGAAGATCATCATTACTGATGAAGGGGAGTTTAAGGCTCTTCAGGAGTGGATTCTGGAGACAGATGGAGTTAGTCTCATGCGAGTCTTGAGTGAGAAGGATGTTGACCCAGTGAGGACCACATCCAATGACATTGTGGAGATCTTCACAGTAAGTCTGAAGTGCCCTGTGTGTGTGTTCCTCAGTCTTGTACCATATTGGACTCTGACCTCCAGCCATCTTTCAGGTGTTGGGGATCGAGGCTGTGCGCAAAGCTCTGGAGAGAGAATTGTACCACGTCATCTCCTTTGATGGTTCCTATGTCAACTACCGTCACTTGGCACTTCTGTGTGACACCATGACATGTCGAGGACACTTGATGGCCATCACCCGTCACGGTGTGAACAGGCAGGACACAGGACCTCTCATGAAGTGTTCTTTTGAAGAGACGGTAAGCTGCCATCTTTGTGGTTGTCTTTGAAGTGTGTGACCCTCATCGTCCTATCATTTTTATGGGTTTTCTTCTCAGGTGGATGTCCTCATGGAGGCAGCAGCACATGGTGAATCGGACCCTATGAAGGGGGTGTCTGAGAACATCATGTTGGGACAGTTGGCTCCAGCTGGGACTGGCTGCTTTGATCTCTTACTGGATGCAGAGAAATGTAAATTTGGAATGGAAATTCCAACAAATATTCCAGGACTTGGAGCTGTAGGACGTAAGTGGCTGCCATTTGTGCTAAGAGTCTTCTTTGCTTGCCCAAGTTCTTCTTCTTAATGTGTGTGTTTTTTTTTTTTTTTTTTTTTTTTTTTTTTTTTTTTTAGCAACTGGTATGTTCTTTGGATCCGCTCCAAGTCCTATGGGGGGAATGTCTCCTTCTATGACACCATGGAACCAGGGTGCTACACCAGCCTATGGAGCCTGGTCACCAAGTCTAGGTATGTTTTGTCAAGATGTAGTGTGGCTTCAGTACTTTCTGAGGAACTGGCCAGGAACATGTGTGGTGACCTGAAATTGTAAACTCAATCTGATTTGCACACTTCCAGGTCAATGACAGCGTATTGAAGGACAGACCATAGACACACTGTCCACTTTAGTAGGAGCTTCTAACCTACATTGGTATTGCAGATCTCCTAGCATTGTGATAAACACTCTTCTGTTGGCTTTCCTTTTCTGTTAGGGAGTGGTATGACCCCCGGAGCTGCCGGCTTCTCTCCCAGCGCTGCGTCAGATGCCAGTGGCTTCAGCCCAGGATATTCCCCTGCGTGGTCCCCCACCCCTGGCTCTCCAGGATCTCCGGGACCCTCCAGTCCATACATTCCCTCACCAGGTAAGGGACAATTCTGCTGCTTATGTCCAAGATTATGCGCCTCCAGCTGATGTCCTGGACTAAAGTGATTGTGACCATGAATCTAGTTGACTTTCCATATTCCATTCTTAATGCATGCTTGTATAGACAGTTCTCCCCCCGTTTCTTTAATACATGCGATTTAATGATGTTCTTTTTGTCTTTGTCCTGCAGGTGGGGCCATGTCTCCCAGTTATTCTCCAACTTCGCCTGCTTATGAACCAAGAAGCCCTGGTGGATACACTCCCCAGAGTCCCAGCTACTCGCCGACTTCTCCGTCCTACAGTCCTACATCCCCATCATATTCTCCCACTAGCCCCAACTACAGTCCTACATCTCCCAGCTACTCCCCCACATCACCCAGTTATTCCCCAACAAGTCCTAGTTACTCTCCAACATCTCCCAGTTATAGCCCAACAAGCCCAAGTTACAGCCCCACTTCACCAAGCTACTCTCCAACCTCTCCCAGCTATTCCCCCACAAGTCCCAGTTACAGTCCCACTTCTCCCAGTTATTCTCCCACCAGTCCCAGCTACAGCCCAACATCTCCCAGTTATTCCCCTACCAGCCCCAGTTATTCACCTACCAGTCCCAGCTATTCTCCCACCAGTCCAAGTTACTCCCCCACCTCTCCCAGCTACTCCCCAACATCACCTTCATACAGCCCAACGTCTCCTTCTTACTCACCAACTTCTCCCAACTATTCACCTTCTTCTCCCAACTACACACCAACGTCTCCCAGTTACAGCCCCACAAGTCCCAGTTACAGCCCGACCTCTCCCAATTACAGTCCTACAAGTCCCAGTTATTCACCTACGTCTCCCAGCTACTCGCCTTCCAGCCCCCGTTATACACCCCAGTCTCCAAGCTATACTCCCAGCTCTCCCAGCTACAGTCCAAGTTCACCCAGCTACTCCCCAACAAGCCCAAAATACACCCCAACAAGTCCATCTTACAGCCCAAGCTCTCCAGAGTATACCCCTACATCACCCAAATACTCTCCAACTTCACCCAAGTACTCGCCAACTTCTCCCAAGTATTCTCCTACCTCACCAACATATTCTCCCACAACCCCAAAATACTCTCCTACATCTCCAACCTATTCACCAACCTCCCCAGTCTATACCCCTACTTCCCCCAAATACTCTCCCACTTCTCCTACATACTCCCCTACTTCCCCCAAGTATTCACCAACGTCCCCCACCTACTCGCCCACAAGTCCTAAAGGTTCCACATACTCTCCAACCTCCCCTGGATACAGCCCCACCTCACCCACCTACAGTCTTACGAGTCCAGCTATTAGTCCGGATGACAGTGATGATGACAATTGAGGACGCTGTGCTCTTTCCAGAGACACGAATGTCCAGCCATGTGAAATGTACCGTTCAGAACGCCAGCATAACGCACGCTTTCTGTTTCAGTGGAGTCTGCCAGCTTATGTTTGGCTTTGTGTAGTTTGTAAGCATTCTCAGCCTGGCCTTTGCATATGTCCATTTATCCTCCGTGCTGAAGGCCTTGTGGTGACCCCATGTGGACGGCGGGGTCTTGTGGTTTCAAGTTTTTCCTTGCACTTATGCAGCGTTCGCCCCACCCCTCCCCTCCCTCCCTTATCTTGTCATTATTTATAGAATGAAGATTCCAGTTTTATTTTCTTTAAATCGTTTTAGCTAAATGCGCAGAATTTTCACCAATCTGACTCTCCGTAAGCTTCATTTTGAAATGTTCTAAATGTTGGAAATTCTGTTATTCTCAATAAAGTGATTATTACAATTTTTGTGGTCTTTTTATATCCGGAATTCATCTGTATGGAAGCCACGTCAAGACACTTCATAGAGTACAAGGTTTTGGATTTCACCCAAAGTTGTGTACATGATGGGGATAGTATTAACCGAAAATGTTGCCTGGGAATGTAGGGTGCAACGAGACTAGGAAAGCAAGTACCAGGGATGCCGAGGTCTGCAACACAGAATTATGACGATGTTCATGGTAAACTCAGGCATGCCGGTAATTCAAGAAGACTCCATTTAAGAAAAGCGAACTAACAAACTGTGAGGCCTCCTATGTGACATAAATTGGGATGAAATCTTCCTGAATAGGAAGGAGGAGAAATAGAAGAAGGCGACGGCCTGGTCTGATGAACACAAGGGAAAATTGAGAGGTTTCAAGGAAATCTTGAATAACAAAATTGTCCAGTGCATTCCATTCACAACTAAATTCAGAAAAGCAAAAATAAAACCGGGGTGGTGAACAAGCATAAGAGAAGGATAAGGCCTTCAGAAAATATAAATCAGAGGGGACAGCATCGGCATTCAAAATCTACAAGGAATGCAACAAAATATAAAAACCAATTGGGGGGGGGGGAGGGATATGAAGAGCATGTGGCTTCAGTGAGCAAAAAGAACCCCAAGGAATTCTTCAAATATAAATAGAAGGTACGGCCAGAACATATAGGCACCATAAATGATGGTGAGGGGAGGTCAGCTACCAGCGACAATGAGCAAATGTGGTACCAATATTCATAAGGGAAAAGTGCACCAGGAAACTACGGGCCTGTCAGCTTAACAAGTATGTGTAAAATATTGGAAGGCGTGATGCGGGACTACATGCAGGAATTGGGCAAATAAAACTGGTATCGTAAGTGGTAACCAACATGGTTTCATGAAGGACAGTTCTTCCCAGACCAATCAACTGGCATTTTATGAGGAAGTCGCTACTAAATTAGACAGAGGACGATCAGTAGACGTGTATCTGGACTTTGCTAAAGGATTTTCGGGAGCCAGAGAGGGCGAAGAGAGGCAAGTAACAGGCTCTAGAGATGGAAGAGTTACACAAGGGGCCCCCACTGTTCAAGAATGCAAGCACCAGGGAGCCACAAAGTCTAGGAATGCACATGACTGCAGAAGCTTGGGGACACGGGCAGCAGTGATGGTGAGGTCAATAGGACCTGGAAACAAGCACAAGGGGGATGCAGCGGGGGCCTCAAACCCACAGAGCTTGGGAAAACAGACGCCTGGGATACAGTGGCCACAGTTGAGTAGAACAGAGTGGGAACACAGCAGGCATAAAGGGAACCATAGAGAACAGAAACACATGAATTCAAGGGGCCACAAAGACCTTAGCATAGTGGAAATGTAATCCACATGAAAATGACACCCTATAAATATTTCAGCAACTGTAAGTCCTAATTAAACAGAAGTAAAGCTGATGGCACGCCAAATTCTGCTGGGATAGTTTATTGGAGTTTGTACCACATCACTGGTGTCCTGTTCCCCTCCCCCAAGGTCCAGCATTCGGCCAACTTTTCTTCTGTTTGTATGGGCTAATACTGAAAGGAGGACATGCTCCCAGCAGCAAGCACCCGGCTCATTCTTTCCCTGGGCCGTGGAGGAGCGGTGCTTTTTTTTTTTTGTCTTTTCCTTGTAGGTCTTACATCTCAAAATTAAACTTTGTGGTTATTGCTGGAACTGCAGGTCAAACGTTATACATGTGAAAATTGTGGCCTCTGAGAGTTGTTGGTGCTGTAGGTTAAAAAATTATGCATTTGGAAAGTGATGTCTGGTGCAGGTACTAGAACTGCAGGTAAGTCCAAAATCCTATGTTCTTGATTTTACAGCAAGGTCCAAAAGCAATGAATAGTGGGGCGGGGAATCACTCTCAACCACCAGGCTGTAGAACAGCATCAACCTAATCAGCCACCTGTAGGACCTTACAGCCAAAGCTAGTATCATCTGATGCCTGAACATCCACACTGAAGACCAGGGGCTGCCTTACAAATCTGCCTGATAACAAAAACCCCAAGAGACACTAACCCATGTAGCAGAAAGGGCCTTGACTGGGAAGGGCAGGGTCATGTCCTTATTAGAGTAAGCCTGAAGAATGACCTTTCTAATCCTAGGAGATATTGTGGAATGGAGGCAGGGTATCTCTTGCATGTTCTTTTCGGAATAAGTGGAGAATCTGATCGCCTGAATGAGGAAATGGCATTAAGAGACTCGTATTGACCACACAACATTCAAAAAATTAGCAATGCTTCTTGGGATGCACCGACACTGGCACTTGAACCAGTTGACATCCGCGGTGTTACACCCCCTTCCTGTGGCGGCCATTTTTCAGTATTCAGCGCTGCGGTACTTTGACTGACATTTATTCCGTCATGCAGCGCTGTACTGAAATGAATTTTATACCATTTTTTGGGGACAGATAGAGCTTTCTTTTGGTGGTATTGATTCACCACTGGGG